TTACAATACTTCCACATGCAGGATTCTACTTCTGACTTTGTAATTCCGTATTATAAAACAAAAGGCTTCCTTCTTGCAATACCAGTTATTAACAGCACTTTCACAATCGAGTATGAGAACTAATCCACTCACCTCTACAGGATGGAGTTGCTCAAGAACACCAGAGTTTGCAGATTTGGAATGCCACACCTGAGGAGTTTTCAGAAAATACTGCAATGAAACACAACATTAAATAAAAAAATCACCCAACACAGCCACATAATTTAAACTGACCTTGAAAGCTGCCAGTGTCTAACTACTGTTATCCCGTAGTTGTGGATCTCATTAGCAGCCACCAATTTACTCAGCCAGCCATTATAAGCCTTAATTTTTCATAATTGCACACGGGCTGATCCAAAAGTAATGCCTCCTGTCTTATAAAAGCCGGCCCACAACATCACAGGTGGATGCTGGTGGGATGACAGCAGAGGCTGAACCTTCCTGCCAGCACTCAGTTACATTTTGCAGCCATGCGAGAGATGGCAGTACAGGGCCAGAATGACAGCACAGCACCTGGCTCGGAAGTGCTCATGGAGCACAGGGTGTCCCTGAACTCCTCCACACTGAAAACATCGCACCACTGACATCCATCAATGCCTGCAAAACATTTATGAAGCCCAACACGTGGAGGTGAGCGCAGTGAAGCAGTGGTGGTGCATTTCAGCAGTGGCAGCAGCAATGCAAGATGAGCCACCCAGCCAAACGGATTTATTTTAATTATTATTATTCCTTTTTAAACAAGCACAGCACACAGGCTCTTGCTCAACACTGGAGGGAAAAAAAAAAAAAAAAAAAAAAGGATAACTAATGGTGGTGACCATGTTGAGAAACAGCTTTGTAGCTGAGAACTCGCCCTATGTATCCGTTGTCATTTCCATGGAAATAAATAGGAGGCATTCCTTTCAGAGCAATCTACGTACCTCAATGAGCCACCATCCTAATACTGCAGTAATACTAATAATAGGAACAGAAAAACACAGACTCTCAGAATATCTTTTGTGGGGATGAAACAGCAAAACCAACACTGCAGTCAGCTGCAGTTATTCCCTGGGAAGGAACTGATGCCAGCAGAAAGGTCACAACCACTTCCGACACTCAAACCATAGCAGCATGTCAGAGCACGCAGCCTTGGAATAAACCCCAAGGATAAACCAAACTGCATCTCTGTTCCAGCCAGTTTTTCTTCAATATACACGCATAGACTGGGAGGCACTAACCCTACAAATTCGTTGTACCACTGTGTCGTATGGTAAGAAGAAAAGCAGGATGTTTGAGTCTGTCAGGCACAGAACCTGCAGCACTGGAGGTGAGCAGTTCTGAATTCTGGTATCTGGTCGTAATTTGCGTGCATGCACAAGAAGCAGTGCAACTCACTTCACCAAGCGTAATTCAATGCAACCAAACGTACTGAAGGTGTACTTACAAGACTGAGGTAGAAAGCTGCTCGCTGAGGGGAAGGTTGGAAACGAGGCAGGGGAGGCCTGACAGATTGAGCGATTGTCTGGAAAAGGAAAGGAGCAGAAGAACTGTTCAGATGACATGAAGCCATTTCCTTGAACGCTGTCACATATGCAGTAACGAACAAAGAATGAAAATCAAGGCATTTGCCTTCGCCATCACCATATGTGCCACCTCTCTGCAGAGCTGCGGGACAGGCAGCACAAGACTGCTGGCACAGTAATTGCCAAGCCACGTTTTCAGAAGCCAGCATGACAAAGTACTTCCCTTTTGCCATGCACAAAGAAATGCTGGCTTACACAGACGAGAGTCTCAAGTGGGATAAGAATACAGAGGTTCTTCACTCTATTTTCTCAAACTGAAAGGAATCAAATGTCCACTTAAGGATAAAACAAAGCAATAAAACAAACACCTATGGAAAGCACACTAACCTTTGCAGGCCCTTCAGATCAAAGTGCTCCAATAGCAGTAGCTATAGAAGCTGTTATGCTCTACAGGTCCTCTGGTAGCTTTGTGGTTGGAGGTGGTGATCTTTGCGTGGGCTTTGGAGTGTTTGTTTTTAAGCACCAGTAAGAAACATCACCAGCCTTTTATCTGCACACCAATAAAGCAGAGAATACAGCTCTGAGCAGCCATCTGCCAGGACTTGTTTTAAGAAGCAGTCAAGGGAGTTGACAAGGCCCCATTTTCCAGGTCTTCTGATCTGGTCCTCAGTGCAATCTGTTGCCAGGACCTTGAACTTCACAGCCACAGCATGCAAATACAGTTTAATAACGGAGTCTTGCAGAAAACAGTGGCTGGCCTGAAATCGTGCATCTGTACACAGATGAGCAAAAAGGGCTCAAGCCAGGGCTTAAGATTTATCACATCATATAAATGCACAGTACGTGCACTTCAGGAGAGATCCTGAATTCGCCTATAAATAGGCTCATTTAAAAAAAAAAAAAAAGTTAAACTCAGTAGCTTCCTCAAATTAAAATTCTGCCTAAGTTCAGTGAAAGACAGCAGTAACGTAGAGAACTCAGGCTCAGAGGAAATGAGTCCAGCAGAAAGATAAGCCTCCCTACACCAGGAAGAATTGATTTATGATACAAAAGCCAAGATAAGAGCAATACTGCATTTACAGATTTGGACCTGTTCTATAATAATTTCTGCATACAGATCGGGCTGCTGGAATGCTAAACCAACGGGGCTGGTGTTATCACAGAGGGCTTGTAAAAGGAAGAAAACAGGAGCAGCACCAACCTCCAAATAAGATACTAAAGCATACGAGAGCCAGGAAGTCACGTGGCAAGCCTGTAAAACCTTTAAATGTGCAGGAGACAAGACAGCCAACTCAAATTTCCTTTGACAAGCATGTGGATGCTTTCTGTCTGAGCTCTGTTTCAGTTATTTCAGACCACGCACTTCTCTTTATTTATCCAAAACGGAGTCACATCAAAGCTATCAGCTTTGAAATGATTGTGCTTAAGATAGTGGTGCCTTCCCTTTCTTTAATAAGGCTTTTTTTAGATTAGTAATTATTTCACTGTAAACAAAGTCTGTTTCCTAGTCTGTTTTAAGACCATCTCTATGACTTCTCAGCAACTTTCGTCCAGATCACAGTTTGGCAAGAAAATGTACAGAAGACAGTAAACATATCAAAAGACTGCAGCACATTTCAGACTGGATTCTCAGAAAGAAGTTGTACAGATACCCCAGATAACAAAATCCTTACACCTATTCTTCATAACTGAACACAAACAACCTGAGAGAGACCTTAGCAAACGTACAGACAGATTACCTTGATGATGTTAAAACACAGAGCTCTTACTTTGTGCAAAAGGCAGATCAGAACATGCAGTAAAAACCTGGAGCTGTGTACCAATAATTTAAGGGCATCATATCCCTCAGAACGTCACTGGAGAATCTGAAGGAATTCCAGTTCTCTGACTTATAAAATCAGCTGTTTGCCAGCCAGTCAGAAGATGAATTTGTGCAGTTCAACTGCAGCTTCCTATGTAGCATACACTGACTTACCAGCTTCAGATAATAACAAACCCCAAACACCCCAGGATCTGATCCTGTGCTCCAGGTAGTGCGTCATGCCTGCAGCTACCACAAGAGGTCAGGAAGCCAAGCAGGCACAGGATGAAGGTCTCTGCTCTGGAGAAAAGCAGACAAGCAAAGCACGTGTGATAACAAGGGAACTTCAGCAGCACATTTCACTTTTCAGAAGGAAAACAGACAAACCTTGAACAAGCCCAGCACCCTCAGCCTGTCTTCGTAGGGGAGTTGCTCCAGCCCCCTGATCATCTTTGTGGCTCTCCTCCAGACCCTCTCCAACAGCTCTTTCTTGTGCTGGGGGCTCCAGACCTGGAGGCAGTGCTGCAGATGGGGACTCATGAGAGCAGAGCAGAGGGGGACAATCACTTCCCTGACCCTGCTGCCACCCCTCTGCTGATGGAGCCCAGGATCCCATTTGCTTTCCCAGCTGTAAGAGCACACTGCTGGCTCATGTTAAGCTTTTCTTCCGTCAAGACCCCCAGGTCCTTCCTGCCGGGCTGTTCCCAACGACTGCTCCTGCCAGGCTGTTCCCTCCTCTAAATTGTGGCCCCGTGCACCACATCCAGGTGGTTTTTAAACACATCCAGGGATGGTGACTCAACCACCTCCCTGGGCAGCCCGTTCCAGTGCTTAACAACCCTTTGCACAGAAGTTTGTCCAACCTCAACTTACCCCACATCTGCGCGTTCTGTGGAACCCCACAGATGTGACAATGGCCTCTGGCTTCTGGGGTGCTTCTCAAAGGAAACCAGCGCACAGCGTCAGGAGTGGAGGAGGAAGAAGCAGCCGAGCCTGCCGCTGACGCTGCCATTCTGCGTCCCTCCCCACGACTCCCACACCTTCCTCTTCCCAGCCCCGCTCGGATCCTCGCAGGCTGCAGACACCGCTGAGGCACTCACACTCCACGGCCGTCATCTTCTCCTGCTGCCGGACCGCTCTCTGCAGGGCTGCGCCGAGTTCCTGCCGCTGCAGCCAGAACCGCGGCTCCTGTGCTGACGGATGGAGGAGTTTCGTGCCGGCACCCACAGCACGCGGTTCCCGGGCTGCCGGAGGCACGGCAGGACGCTCCGCTCTCTCCCATCGCCCCTCAGCTCCCGCATCCTCCTATTATCCGCCTAAGGATACGAAGACCCTGAAGAGCGGTCCGCACAGGCTGATCGACGGCCGACGCCAACGGCACGAGGCTCAACAGTCCCGCACTTCGCTCACAACAACCCCAGGCATCGCTGCAGGCTGGGGGCAGAGCGGCAGGAACGCGCGCGGAGCAAAACGACCCGGAGGCGCGGGCCCCGGAAGCGGAGCGGGCAGCCGGGCCGGGGCCAGCCGAGACGCGCGGTGATGACGCAACGACGGAAAGCACCCCGCGCGGAGCGCCCGCGCCGTCCCGCGGACCGACCAATGGCTGCGCAGCGAAGGCGAGGCCGAGCGGCGGGCTCTCTGCCGATGGCGGCAGCGGGGCTCCGCGCGGGGAAAGCGGCGCTTCGCCGCCCCGCGTCCCCGCCGCCGCCTGCCCCGTGCCTCGGGGCCCCGTCCGTCCCCCGTAAGAACCGAGCCGTCCTCTGGAGTCGTCGTTGCGGCAGGGCGCCGCCGGGCCGTGAGAACCGGCCGCTGACCGCGAGCGGCGGGATTCGCCCGGTGTCCGAGAGCGGCTTCTGGCTGAGCCGGGCAGCCCCGAAAGTGAGGGAGCGACCCCGCGGATCGAGACGCGATCGAGCCCGGCACACAGTCAGGCGGGCGCCTTCAGTTCTCGCTCGGCTCGAATGGTCGTCAGCGCTGTGCTGAGCTGCTGCCCCGCAGGTGGAGGACCGGACTGCCATTTTCCCGAGAAGACAGCCGGCGGCGCTGGCGCTGACCAATGAGAGGGAGGCCGGGGGCGGGTCGGCGCGGGCGGTGACCAATGAGAGGGAGGCCGGGCCGCCTTTCCCCGCGGCTGAAGCGGCCGCTTCCGAAGGTGGGGCGCCCGCATGCGCTGCGGCAGCCCGAAGTGGAGTCGGAGGGGCCCGGCCGGTACAGCCCGGGCCGGCAGGCCGCAGCGCGGCCGGGCGAGGCTCCGAGCTGGCGGACCTCTGCCCGGAGGGACCGCATCCAGCACGGCAGGTGTCGGCTGGTTAGCGTGCGAGGCCGGGACAGCTCGCAGGCTGCGACTCCGGGGCGGGCAGAGCAAGTCCCAGCGCCGGTGACATCAGCCGGGCTGCTGGAACCTGCGTGCTGTCGCGCTGCGTTTCCATGCCGACGGCGGCCGCCCCCCGAGAAGCAGAGGGTAGCTTTGCTGCCGTGTTTGTTACCCGATGAAGCCCATTGCGGGGGGCTGGGCAGACAGCCTTGCCACAGAGGCCCGTGCTGCAGCAGGATTGACAGCACGACTCCTTTTGTTTCTCCTTGAGCCCTGGCCAGGCTTCGCGGAGAAAACCGAGAGGAGAAAGAGGGCACCGGCTGTTCCCCCGGACTGCTCCGTCGATTGGTTTATTACGTGCTAGAAAGGCTGGAGCTGCTTGCAGCAGCTCTGGATGCCTCACCCGTGGGATGGATGCATTGCTGATGGATGCAACTTCCCCGTGGCTGGGAGAGGTTCTCCAGATCCTCGTTGCAAATGGGCTCCCCAGTGGCTGCGGCTCTGGGTGATGGTTAAATACTGGGGCAATTGGTGTTGTACCTTCCTTCATCGCTGCGCTCACGTGGCAAGGAGCAGGCCCACTGCCTTGCTTACTGCCTTTACTGCTAGCTTCTCCTTTGGCTACAGACGCTGCCAGTATTATTGTTTCTACTATTTTGTCGTAGGCAGTAAAATAAGCCTATCCCAAAGATGTTGGTGTCTTTGTTCTCCCTGTTGAGCCCATCAAGTGGCACAACAGCATCAGCACATGATGGGCACGTAACTTGGACATCAGCAACGTGACTTGAAAGGCCAGCATCGGGAACGTCTCCTTTGGAGAGAGACTGAGAGGTTTGGGCTCGTTGAGCCCGGAGAACAGAAGGCTCTGGGGAGACCACGTGGCTGCCTTTCAGCACACGGGGCCTCACAGATCACCCAGTTCCAACCCCCTGCTGCGGCCAACAGCGAGATCAGGCTCCCGGTCAGGTTACCCAGGGTGCCATCCAGCCTGAATTTGAACACCCCTCAGGACGGGGTGCACACAGCGTCTCTGGGCAGCCTGTGCCAGCAGCTCACCAGCTTCTAAGTGAAAGACTTCCCCTGGACGGGTTTATTTTTCTGATGTGTGTGGGTGAGGTTTCTTTGCTCTGAAGTGCCTACAACTCGCAGAACTTGGTAGAAAAGCATTTCTGGAACTTGGAAACCCTGCTCGAAAGGCAACAGAGCATCTCCAAAGGCACCAGCTGTGCCTGCGTATGCCGGATGACGGGAATCCTTCTGCAGCCTCTCTTGCCAGCGTCTGTTGCCTCCACGGCACCTGCTGGCATCTCATCTGCCTGCAGATACCACGATGTAACACTCAGGCTATGGGAGAGTCGGCACTGAGCAACATTTGTGTGGGCTCCAGCAGAAAGAGTGCCGTGTGATGCATGGCAAGCACGGTGCAGGGCTGACCGCCTCTCGCGCTCACCACCCAGCCTCTGTTGAGCTGAATTCAGCCTCTGTGACACGTGGCAGGTTCTTGTGCCATTTGCCGAGTAAACCATGGCGACTGTCGATAATGATATTTCAAGCTCGTGAGGTGTGTGTGCCTGAGAACGCACAGGGTTTTGTTTATTTAGCAGACGTGAAACAACTTCTCTTACTAAACCATTAAAGTTAGGCTTGCGTTCTTTCGTAAAACAATTCAGTAAGTTAACTGGAACTCCTCCTGGAAGAGGAGCTCCCCTCTCCGTGCCGGTGACCTAACAGAGCTCCAGGTGACACGGGCTGATGTCACAATGCCTAACAGAGCTCCAGGTGACACGGGCTGATGTCACAATGCCATGCTCTGCATCACAAGCTGATCTTCCCCGGGGCAGCGGCAGGGCCGGCACTTCCCTGCAGGGCCTGGGCGCTGCTGCAGCACTGCTCAGGGGCTCTGTCCTTCTGTGGCCAGGAGTCGATTCCGGGGCAGCCAGGCTGCACTGGGTGACCCTCGCTGACGCGTGGAGGAGCAGGGGCGCTTTGCAGAGAATTGTTGGTTGGTTGAGGAGCCTTGTTGGTGGAGGCCATCCTTAGTTCTGAGCTGAGGCTGTTGGCAAGCCACATGGAAGGCTGCTGGACTGTGAGCGTCAGCTCAGAGCTGGCCTCCGCGTTCCCAACGCTGCTGGAACTCTCTGCCGAAGGTAAGGCTTTCCAGACCCCCTTCCCAAGGCATCACACGGGGCTGTCAGCTGTTAGTCCAAAGCCGCAGCTCCTGCCCTCTGCGCTTGGCTGGACATGGCTGGGGGCCGCTGCAAGAGCCCCGCCAAAGGGTCCCGCTGGGCTCTGGGGACCACGTGGCAGCCAGCTCCTGAGAGTAGAGCTGCCCAGAGCCCCCGGGTTCTGTGATAGGGCAGTCCAAGGCCAGGTTTCCCTGGGAGAGGGTGTTTCTGTAGATTCCAGCTCTGGGAAGAAAGACATCCCGTATCCCAGAGGCTTCCTATGTCCCCATTTCCCCTTGGGGCTCTGAATAAGGCTGAAATCGGAGCAAAGCCCAGCTCCGTAGCCATGGTGGTGTTTTTCTGCGTGTGCCTGTATCGATTGCTGTCTGTGTGAGGAGCTTGCCAAGAGGTTGTGAAGAGGCTGGCCTGGAGCCTGACTTGTCTTTTCTTTCCTTTGCAGAGATTGTGGCGGTCTGGGACGCTGTGTCTCAGTACATCCTGGAACAGATGAAGCTGGACAAGGTGGGCTGGTGTCCTGGTGGCCCTCGCCCTGGAGAAGGGTTCAGTCCTGCCGAGAGCCTGGACCCCGCAGAGCACTCCCTCCCTGAGCACCACAGCAGCACGCTGAGCCCAAGCCGGGTGCTTAGAGTGGCTTGTTGGCCAACTGGGAGGGAAACCCATGGCCAGAGCTGCCCTGAGCAAGCGTTTGGCACACAAAGGGGCTTCGCTCTGCCCTGCGGTCAGAATGGGGAGAGCAAAGGGAGAAATGGGTGGGGGGTTTTTCTGGCTGTGCCAAGGATAATCCGTGGCAATCAGTCCCAGGCTTCAGCCCTGTGCTGTCAATGCCTGGGCTCTTCTCTAGCCAAGGGATGTTGGGAAATACTGTGCGGAGGTGACTGTATAGCAGGGACCACAGATGTTTTCCAAAGCTTTCCAGAGACCCAACTCGCTCCCCTGTCCGTCAGGAGTGGGGAGAGCAGTGACCCCACGCTCCTGATGTTCATGGCTTTTGCCGCCCCTAAAGTACACACTCGTCAGCCATTATGTTTTTTCCCTGTGCAGGGAGTCCTGGTTCCGGGACTCGGGATCTTTGCTGGGGTCCGAGAGCAATTCCACAGCAAAGAAGAGGTGCTTTCAGTCCGAAGACCTGTCTTCGAACTGAACATCAGGGTGCTGTGGCTGCCGGACCTCCAGTCTCCCAGCGACATCATCCCTGGTAAGAAGGCAGCAGCAGCCACCTTCCCCTTCCCACCCCACGTCCGGCCGTCTGTGTTCTCCCTGCTCTTTGGAAATGGCAGCGAGCAGCAGAGAATCGTCTGCAAAGCTCGGGGTGCAGCATGAGTTCCTCCTGAAGGAACCGCAGCCCAAGAGCTGTTTCTCCAAAGGACCTTTTCTATGGGATTTGGTTATGAATGCAGCATGGGCTGGCTGTGGCAGTGAGGATGTGCCTTCTCCTTGCAGACAGCGTCAAGATTGAGCCGCTCAACTACCGGCAGCTCTCGCGAGCCTCCGGCGTCCCGCTGCACTTGGTGCTGCGCTGCGTGCGGGAGAGCGTGCTCCTGTACTGTCACCTCCTGAGGAACAAGACGCCCGTCCCGTTTGTGTTCAAGAACCTCGGCGTTATGACCTGCCAGGACAACTTCCTCTGCATGAGGTTCTTCTGCACCTGCGTTGAAACGCTGGAGAGCAATGCCCCCGTCCTTGCACTGATCCACACCGTAAGTTGAGGAGGTTGTGAGGTGCGCCATCAGATCACCACTGGCCAACCTGGACGTGGCAGGCCAGTCCAACGCCTTTCCCCACAGTTGCCCGCACAGCTTTCTCCAGGGGCAAAGAGATTTCCTGGATCTCTGCCCCTGCCTGGCAGTGCTCTTGCACAGCCTCACTATTTGGCCATCCTGCTCCTTCAGAGCGGAACAAAGCTCTGATGTTCATGGATGAGGCTTTGGTGGAGAGTAGCTTTCTTTTGGCATGGGAGCCAGGCTTGCTTCCTGTCAACAAGAGCCATGAAGAAATGGCCTTGGCAAGCCTCCAGCAGGTCTGTGTCCCTTTGCAGAGATTCTGGACGGAAGATCTTGCTGACTTCGGGCCAGAGATCAGCGCCCGTGGGATCCGCGTGTTCCCGAGGTGAGTGCGTTTCCTCGGCAGCTCTTAGCTGGCCAGCAGACAGGCTTCCATCCCACCTCCTCCTCCTCTGGAACATGCCCTGCTGGGTCTCCGTGCTCAGCATCCAGTCGGGGAGAAATCCTGGAAAGTCTGGCTCCTGGTTAACTACTGCTGCTTTTCGGCTGTGTGTGTCTTCTCCCGGAGTGATGGGGATCGCGGTTGTGTTACTGGTGCCCAAGCTGTCCCGATTCCCCTCAGAGGGAACAGACTGCGCATGCAGAGGAATTTGGGCTACGTGTGCTGGTTTGGCATGGCCAGGAAGGAAAAGGGTGCCACGCTTTGCATAGCACATGGAATAAATACCACCGACCAGCTGTGTGGGGCAGGAGGTCATCCTTCTTCAAGGGTTGTCACTCTGTTTCCAGGTTTCAGCTCACCATGGAAAAGAGCAGAGCAGAGGCTGCTGCAGACAAGAAATCCGCAATAGAGCGGAAGCTGAGTAGAGGTGAGGGAACGGGTCCCAGCTGTGGGGAGGGGGGCCCTGTCCCGTGCCGGGTGACCGGATCCAGGTTCACGTGCCGTGCCCGTGGGGCTGCTCTGAAGAACTTCTTTCTCTCTTGGTTGCAGGGGTCTCTGCCAGCAGGCTGCTGCCGAGGCGGAAGACACTTACCCCCCCCATGCTGCAGCGCGAGCCAGGCTCAAGGCAGCAAGAGTTGGCAAAGGAGCCTTCTGCCAGGTGAGGGCCTTGGGCAAACAGAAGGAGATGTGCGCGCTCGTGTAGGAGCGGCCTACCCTTCGGAGCTGCCAGCTCTCGGCACCCAGAAAGGCTCCTGACACACGTGTGTCCCAGGGGGGGCCGTTCTCTCCAGGGATGGCAAGCGCCCAGCACGACTTCCCGAGGCAGACACACCAGCTTCATGTTCTATTCTGGTCCCTGGTCCCTGGGGGAGCTGAATGCTGATCCCTATTGATGGCAGAAGTTCTTCTCCCTTCAGGGGTCTCTCCGCGTTGCGCCAGAGCCCATCTTTACGGCTGTGGGAGCACGGGGAGGCCAAGGTGCCCCGGGCTCCTGCAAACTCCTCTTGTGTCTGTTTGCAGCGCGCTCCCACTGTGTGCAGGCAGCTTCCGCAGGACAAAGAAAGGAGAACAGAAGGAAGCATCTACTGCCCAGACCAGCGCTGCACTCCCTGCCACTGAGGAGTCTAAGAGAGTGCTGCAGGTACTGGCTCTGCCTTGCTGCAGGGACTGTGCTGCTTGAGACTGCACCAATGACAGAACGGTAGAATCATAGAAAAGTTTGGGTTGGAAGGGACCGTTCTGATCACCTGGTTCCAATCCCCTGCTGCAGGCAGGGACACCTGTCTCTAGACCAGGTTGCTCTAAGCCCGACCCAGCCTGGCCTTGGGAACTTCCACAGGGAGGGAAGCAAAAGCCTCTGTGTGTGCAGTGATCTGGAGCACAGCCCTTCGGGTGCCATCATTTTCACATTTCTGTCTGCTCCTCCAGCTCCTCTTCGGTAGATGGAGGGTGCTGCACACCTTCCCTGTCTCTTCTCACCTCCTGGCCTGCCACCTGCCACAGCACACACAGGGGCAGTGAGAGAGGAATACGGCCTCTGAGCCACGTTGGCCACGAGTTGCGGATCCCTGGCTTTGGGGCCCCTGGTCCTTCAGGGGCAAAGCAGTGCCGACAGGCTGGCAGACGAGAGGAGCAGGAGCGGGGAGCTGAAGGAAGGCCCCAGGGGCTGAGGCTGATCCTGTATGCTGCTGTGTCTCTGCAGGAGCTCCGGAAAGTGTCTGCACTGTGGAAAGAAGCAGACCACACGTGGCCCATGCACCAGCAGCAAATAGAGCAAGCACGGGCAGAAATGGCGGCATGGGAAGGCTGGAGCGCAGGGAAGGACCAGCGTCCGCCCCAGGTACCGTCAGGGATCGACCCTGCTGGCAACAGCCGCTGAGCCAGGGTGCGAGCTCAGCAGGGCGCAGGGGGTGGGAGCGGGACGGGCGCCGCGCAGCATGGCAGGGGCTGGCCCACTCCTCCCGGGGGGAGAGCTTGGCACAGCCCCGCAGGGAGAAGGGAAGGGCGGCGGGAGCTGTGGGCCGGCAGGGCCGAGTCTTCTGCTTGCCGGGGCCTGCTGCAGGGCCCTTGGCAGAGGGCCTCTGGGGAACAGCCCCGTGCTCCCAGCCGCTTTGCTGACAGCGTCTCCTCTTTGGCAGCTGTTGGCCAGGGAGAGCGTGTGTGTTCCGCATCCTCCAGCCCAGCCCAGGGGACAGAAAGAGGGAAGGAGGTGGAGGAAGGACGTGGATCCTGTGCCAGCAAGTAAAATGGGGACAGCGACCAAGCTGGCACTGCATGCTGAGTAAGTGTGTGTGGGCTCTGCAGGCTGCCTGAGGCACTTGGGCAGCTGTGACTGCAGCTCGGGGACAGGCACAGCCCGGGCCAAAAACTGCTGGCGGGGTGCAAGGCTGGGGACACACAGGGGGCAGCAGGGGGTGCAGGGCTGGGTGAGGGCAGAGGCAGGGGCAGCTCGGCGGAGCCCGAGGGATGGCCTTCTCCTGTTGTTGCAGCCTCCTTTCCCCGCGAGCGGCTCAGGTGCTCCAGAAGTTGGAGCCGCACCTCCATCAGCAAGAGGCTTTTGCCGGCACCGCAGAAAGAAACCGGCAGAAGCTGGAGCTGAAGCGGCAGTTCCCCAGGTGAGCTCCATAGGCAGCAGATCCCGAGAGCCAGGATCCAGCCACTGGAGCCCAGCCTTGCCTTGCTTTGCCTGCGCTCAGCCTGTAACGCTCCGCGCTCTGCTCTTCTTGCCTCCCTAGGGCTCGATGCTCGCACCGCTCCAGAGAGGAAGGTGCAGCCAACGGTGGTAACCGCGGTGGAGCTGTTGGCCAGGGGGCTGGGAAGCCGTCCAGATTTCCACCTGTGAATGGAAGATCATAGGATCAAAGACTGGTGGGATGGCCTGGGTGGAAAAAGGACCTTGACGATCGTCTGGTTTCAACCCCCCTGCCATGTGTGGGGTCACCCACCAGCAGACCGGGCTGCCCAGAGCCACATCCAGCCTGGCCTTGAATGCCTCCAGGGGCATCCACCACCTCTCGGCCAGCTGTTCCAGCACGTCACCACCCTCCTTGTGAAGAACTCCTGCTAACATCTAACCAGATTATCCCCCCTTTCACAGTTAAAACCACTCCCCCTTATCCCACCACTATCCAGCCTCGTCAACGGCTGTTCCCCCTCCAGTTTACATCCTCCCTTCAAGAATTGGAAGGCCACAATGAGGTCTGCCCGGAGCCTTCTCCTCACCAAGCTAAACAAGCCCGGTTCTCTCCACCTTTCTTCACAGGAGAGGTGCTCCAGCCCTCTGATCATCTCAGTGGCCCTCCTCTTGATCCAAGAGCTCTGCGTCTTTCTCATACCGGGGTTCCAGCTCTGGACGCAGTACTTCCAATAAAAATGAATTGGCTTTATTTCCACTCAGTCTGCTGGTGTCGTGTCTGTCGCCATCAACTGACGTGAGGAAGCTGGAGCCGTGCTTTAAGAGAGCAGTTTGGGTGGCAGCGAGAGCTGCTCCCAAGGCCCGGCAGGACCATGCTCTCCAAGAGTGAGTTCCCAGGATGGCAGCCATCTCTGCCGTCCGTGCATGTTTCCTGTGCAGAAGTCGTGTGTCCCCTCGTATCCCCATAGCTCCCTCCCAGCAACAGAAATGCTGTAGCAGAACCGCAAGGGAGCTCCATGGGGACGAGGAGCAGAGGCACGGGCATGGGGAATACGAGGGCGTCTGAAAGGCCTCTCCTTTCCCCATGGGGCTCGAGAGCACTCCTGCCTGCAGCTGGGGACTGTATTGCAAAAGTGTGTTTGCTTGTAACTGTAGCCAGGGAGTTTCAAACCAGCTGTTACACTGCTGTCTGGAAGGGGAACATCTATGTTCTCTCTCTGAAACAGAGGAAATCATCTGACCTCTTGCGCTAACAGCATTGGGACAAAGATTTGAGGTGGCAGTCTGAAGGACACATTGAGCTTGACTGGAACAGCTGTACTGTAAGAAACCATTTGTCTTTCCACGGGGGACACAGCTGGAGGGGAAATCCAAAACAGGGGAAATGAGGGGAATCTGGTAAGGCAGATGATTGGCAGGCACAGCTCTGAGCCCAGGGGGGTCTTGGAGTGGATGCTCCCAGAAGAGATGCTGAGACTCATGCAAGATGAGGAAGTGATGCGAGACTGCAAGCATGGCTTCACCAAGGGCAGATGGTGCCTGAGCCACCTGGTGGCCTACAATGGGAGTGACAGTACTGGTGGTCCCAGGAGGGGCAACTGATGTCATCTCACTCCGAGGCTCCCGGTTTGATGTCCAGGAGCTGACCTCGTCTTGTCTAAAGCCTCTCTCCTCCTACCCTGTGGTTTCTGTGATCCAGCAGGGACCATGCAGGGACACACAGTAATAACAAAAGTTAATGCTGCATGATTCCATGACTTGCACGAGGGGCAATGGGAAGGGAAGGGAGGGAAACTGGTGAGAAACGCAGCAAGGTAATGGAAGGGAAAGGAGACCGGAAGGAGACGCCCCATGGGAAGGGAAGGAATGGGAAAGAAACCGTGAGGAAACGCCATATGGGAAGGGAAGGGGATGGGGGAGATGGTGTAAGGGAAGGGAAGGAGACGGGACTGGGGGAATATGCCACATGGGAAAGGAAGGGAACCAGGGTGAGACACCACAAGGGAAGGAAAGGGGACGGGGGGAAACACTGTGAGGGAAAGGAAGCAGACTGGAGGGACGCCACAGGGGAAGTGAAGAGTAAAAGATGGTTCACAGAAACAAAGGGTAAAAGAGAGTTGACAGAAGCACATGTGCAGCGGCTGCTAAAAGGATAAGGATTGTGGACACTGGCACTGGGACGGTGAGGGCAGTAGCGAACATAAAGACAACAGTTTGAGAACAGCCCAAGGACCTCCGGCAGGTAGGGGATAAGATATCCTCAGGGCAGGCTAGAACTGGATCGGGAGCTGCCCCTCCCACAAGATCAGAAGTTTACAGTGAGGAAGAGGATGATTCTTCATCCCACGACAACCAGGAGGAGACCCCCATGACTCACCCTGCACATGTGAGGGGGAGGGACTACATGCTGATGGGTTCTCACAAATGTAATAAATATGTATCGAAATTCCTGGAAACAATTGATCGTGTATTCGTTCGGCCTTTATCTGTACCATGCTTTTTCCTCACGGTGTGCAGGTTAGGCAGATCTATCCCCCTTGCTCCAGGGTGTATGTGCATTGCTAGAATAAACATGCCTGCTCTATATCCTTAATCTGGCTATAGGATTTGATTTCTGCATGTCCATTTGGCACCTCAGATGGGACAACCTTTGTTCGGCGGCGGGACCGGCTGAGAGGGGGATGCCTTTGGTGCGCCCCGAGATTCCTCAGAAGGACTCCCCTTCCTCATCCGGTCACTGCGGGAACAGACAAGGACCACCCATCAGCAGACCAGGTATGTGTGTGCAAAGGGGGAATCCGTAACTCGTGAGGAGCCCTCCTGTGTGGGGTATGAAGGAGCGTGCATTGTGCATGCTTCCCCGCCGAGGTAGGTGAGCTCAAGGATTGGGTGGCTGGCTGGAGTAGGAAGACTCCTTGGAGAAGTTCCTATGAAGGAGACCTGTAAGTTGTATGCGAGGAAGAGCAATAGCTCTCCCTTACGTGATTGGTAACAGCGGGTATCTTGTCAAATTGAAATGTGGGAGTTGCAGGTTGTGTTATTGTTATCACTGTCTGCTGTAAGCGTTCGGTACCGTGTGTTTGAGTAATTGCTATCAGAGCACTGGAAAGGAGTCCGGAGCTCTGATTTGGTGAAGTGTAAAGCTGGCACTGTGTGTGATTGTGAGCGGATGTGTTGACTTCATGAGACATTGCAGCACAGCTGCAGGGTGAGTGTGGAGTAACGATGATCATTGTCTGACAGTCTTTGCCTTTTTGTAGGAATTTATGAATGGGAACGATGAACCCAGAGACAGATTCCCATTCCATTCGGGGAATGAGTGCCAACTCATTTATGTAATATTGTGTTCTGCTTGCAAGGAGGTGTGTGAGGGAGGCGGGTCACTCAGTGCTGGTTCTGCAGCGAGGTGTTTATAACCAAACAGCACTGATTGTTAGGGGAAAGAAGGTATGAAGGGTGTTTATGGAAACTGAAGTACTATATTGTTTGATTTGTGGGTTTTGAAGGGATGGGACAAGCTGTTTTGATGGTATAAGTGTAATCGTTAATGGTATATGGAAGTAGAATTGAGGGTATGTGGAAGTTTAACTGAGGGCACAAATAGTGGAATAGTACAAAGGAAAAAGGGTTAAAGAGAAAGTGAGTTTATCTGCATTGGCATGAGAGCAACCCCCCACACCGTTCCCATGAGCAGAACTTGGTGTGGGAGAGAGAGCCGGGGACAGAGACTGCTGCGGGAGGAAACCCAAAATCCCAGCGTTAGCACTGGAAGCCTCTGGAGAGGAGGAGGTGAAGCTGAAACATGACGTTAGTAGTTTATGTAATGATGAGAGTTTGGAAAGTAAAAAGTTTGGGAAGGACACAGGCTGAGGAAGGCAAAGATGAGTAGGGTGTAACAGGGAGGGATCCGCCCCACTGGAACAAAAGCAGTGTGCAAAGTGCAGGGAAATGGCACACAGGTGGAGAAATCCTACCAAGCTGAGTGAGAGGGAGCCATCTCTGATTGCAAAGCTGAAGGATGGGAACCTGGGAAGTTTACGCTAGCAGATGCACTGGTTAAATTGCAGCTGGGGCGCAGGACAAAGAAGTTGTCGCGGTGTTATGATTGTTGGTTATCGGCATTCCACATCGTAACATCACATAGTGCACCAGGAGTTAAACTGTTAGTGCTCCAGCTCCGGGCACCTGTCCGGAAGAGAAGAAGAGCCACACGCCCCAGGGGGCTCTGCAGTCAGAGGGGAGATGTAACTCCTGGCAGGTCACCTGAGGGGCTCTTCTTCGCCAGGCTCTCCTCCCTGTCGCTCAGCCGGACTGCGCACTGCACCTCAGCATTGTGGCGAGGCCTGTCCACCTCTCGGACACTCTGTCATCATATCTGATTTAGTAGCTTCAATTCTAATTATGTATTATGTACATATTATGAATTGCAGTGTGTTACCTTGCATTCCGATACCCTATTTAGTAAATCAGTTTGTTTCTCCTCAGATCGTTGCCACTGTTTTTAATGACTTTGGGGTCCCCTGTTTCCCTTTTCTGGAGGCACGGATCCATGAAATCCCTCTGCCCTGCTGCTCACAGAGCTGTGCCCATAAACCACTGACAGAGGCTCTTCCCCTCCTATTTGCGTAACATCATAACCTGGTGTAGGGAACCTGCTTTGGCAGGGGATTTGGACTCTATGATCTCTGGAGGTTCCTTCCAACCCCTACAATTCTGTGATTCTGTGATTCTGTGATCTATTCTCCGATGAAAGGAACAATGTTTGTTACCAGAGAAGTTCCACATCACTAGAATACTGTTGATCCACATCTCCATCTGTTGGCCTGCGAGCTGTCTAAATCCACATCACAGAATTGTAGAATTGCTCACGTTGGAAGAGACCTTAAAGATCAAGTCCAAATGCAACCCAGCCATGTAACCCCAGCTCTAACAGCCCTCCGCTAAATCGTGTCCCTGAGCACCACAATCCAAACGGTTTTCAAACACATTCAGAGATGGTGACTCAACCACCTCCCTGGGGAGCCCATTCCTATGCTTAACAGCCCTTTCTGTAAGGAAGTGTTTCCTGATAGCCAACCTAAACTTATCCTAGTGCAACTTCAGGCCGTTTCCTCCTGTCCTGTCACCGGTGGGAGGAGACCAACCCCGCTCTGTTCACCCAGATTTGGCCACACTTGAACTTCATAGCCGCATTTACAAGCAGCATCTAATGGGATTCATTTTACTCCCAGGAAAAATAAATGAAGATTGCCTTTTAGAAGGAATGCCTGTCAACATCATTCAGCTGCTTACTCACAAGAGTTGATCTGACTTTCCTACAAAAATTTCAGGTAACTGTGAGGCATTGATTGCCTGTGGAAATCAAAGGTGCATTGTTCGCAAACTGAAAGCAGATTCTTCAGAATGTGGTGCTTTTGTTGTCGTTTGTTTACTTGCTTTTAACATACCTAGGATCAGCAGCTCAAAATTTGGAACTCTCTTTTAAGAGCTACTATAGCAACACAGATTTTTATCTTAAGATCAGGGAACACAGCTCAACTGATTCTACTTCAGCTAAATCACTTCAGCATGCTAAAGAAAGCATTCTAAAATTGTTTTCATGAAAAGTATGTAAGAATGCTTTCCGTTTTTCTATATTTTTGTAATACTTGCTCTCCATTTCGCTGATAATAAGAAGGGTGATCAGAAATGTCCGTTGGGCACACTGGACACAGGACATTCATTCACCTGCTGTCATATGGTTAAACAAAATTTATCTTTGAATTCAAAGGATTCTTATTATTTGAAAATGTTCAAATTCTTAATTTTTTCTTCTTTTGAAACCTAAACTCATCAGTGGCTCCATCTCATATTTATTTTGCTTCTTGGTTCATGTTAGAAAACCCAGTGGCTAAAATTTGATGTCAAGTGATTTAAGGCAACAGACTAAGGGAACATGAATTCCTTCTGATTAAACGGCTACATCTCAGCGGAATATTTGTGGTTTGATTCACCAGAACATCAGATGTATCTGCAGTGTATCTGTACACTGTATCTGCAGTGCAAATTTCTGACACGAGAAGAGAAAAATCCCACAGCACATTTAGGAGGAGTCTAATAATGAAACTGACTGCAACCTCTCTGTCAAGTAAATGCTAACAAGTAATGATCAACTGCGAGTTTTTGTACCACGCAATCACGTTCTGCTTTTTTCCATATCAAGGAGAAAAAATCTGGATGTATCTTCAGGTCCTTCCCTAAGAGTATCCAGAAAGATGCAAGATAAACTGCTGAATGCCAGAATTGGAGCCTAGGATTAAGTGAGCAGAACAAGAGAGATAATGAACTCATAGTACAGTTGTGTTTGTAGTTCTTACTTTGATGATTTGCTATGTGCAGTTGTTTGTTGACAAGATCCCCATGTAAGGATACTTTTCTGCCACCAAAGGACATTCTGTGCCTTGAGAAAACTAGCGCAGTCTGGTGAAGGTTCCCCCCAGAGGCTGAGCATGGAGAACACAGAATTAATGACCATTTTCTCCTCTGTGGCTGTCTAATTTCTTCTCTTTCACTGTGCATCAGTTTACTGTCAACAAAGAAAACGCTAAGCTACGAGTGGCACAGTACTGCATTAATATTCCATCAGCACTGTTCAGAACACTGCAACTATTTGCTGGCTTACACGTCAGAATTCACAACCCAGATTGCTGGAAAATATACAGAAAAGGAGTTCCTTTAAATGTTCTCTCATGGTTTTTCGCCCTCCTTACTGTGCTAATGGATTGCAGTAATATTATGCCAAGTAATAATTTGGGCATCTTGAACCACCATGATTATTTCTGCCAGTGTCTTGAATTGTGATGTGGAATACAACAGTGCCACTGTAACAGAGGGAAAAGTAGGGAAGGTAAAAGGAGAAAGACTCAAAGTTAACAAGTAATTAGTAAAAACCAAAGGCTGAAAAGTGATTAGCTAGAGGTGAATGAAATCTCAGATGCTCCCTCTAAAGGTAGGCAGTCCAATTAGACAAAGACAGCAGGGTAGATCAGCAATTACATCTAAGACTAAAGCAAGGATTTCTTCCTGTAATTCTGTCACCTGAATCACAAAGCCCCTAATGTTCCTGGCTATTTTTCAGACCCTCTTGGCTAAAAGTGATCATTTGCATTAGGATGCATCACTCATGGTGTTAAATAAGTAAGATATGATATGTCTAAGTCCATAACAGACAAGCAAGATAAAATTGCCACTCAAAATAGCAAATTATCTACTGTTAGACATACATAATTGCTTTGTCCCTTCCCAGTGACTATGGAGGAAGACTCAAGTTCTGAGCAATCAACACCTTTCCAAAACCAGCTGAAAGTAATCCTGCCCAGAAGGGCAGTGGGGATTTCAAGAGAATCTACTTAAACCTGAAGTAATTCATGACTCAGAGGAAGCTCAGCTGTACTCTTGGACAATAAATAAATAAATCAGCAGATGAATTAAGGCCTCTGCTTTTTCAGCTGTATCCAATTTAACTAAATTTAATCAACATTGACAAATTTCTTCTTCAGAGTGAGATCAGACTTTGGCAACTGGAATGATAGTATCAGATTAAATCCATTTATCGTGCTTAGGAGAAAGAACGCCTGGTATTCCATGGAAAATAAATCCTGTGCTAATGTCACAGATGATCCAAGCGATGGCAGAACAGCATCTGCATTTAAAATAAGATTTTAAATCTGCAATGCGAGCTGTCTATCTGAGCTGTCAGTCCAACATTGTCCCTAGAGAAGAAAACAAGCTGTATTTTTCTGGTGAAATTCACGTCATCTGTCTTGAAGGCACTGGATGGCAGAACTGCTGAAGGTAGGACACTTCCTTCAAAATGCTCGCTGCTGTGATAATGAAGCAAATCTGAGGAAGAACTAAGACCAAAATGTATTGGTTCTGACATCCGCAAAACAAGCTGCACAGGAGGCGGAAGCTGTTCCTTAGAGTCCTCTTAGCTGGGAAAAACTAGATTGTGGCAGAGAGCAAGCAGGCATTGTTGAAGCAGAGAAGTGCCCACTGCTCCCCAGGTAGCAAAAGGCTTTTGCTTTTTTGCACTGTAGGTGTTTTGGTTGCCAGCTGGGCTGAAGCACTCTGATTTCAGTGTACCGACTGGCCCTCTGGTTCTTTCGATTCCTCCCAGATGAAGCCAAATGAAGAACGAGAACTAGAAAACCACACGCTTGTGACGGAATTTGTCCTCTCTGGATTGTCCAGCCACCCAGAACTGCAGAACTTGCTGTTCTTCACATTCTGCTTGATTTACACCTTCACCATCACTGGAAACCTCCTCATCTTCCTGGTCACATTGCATCCCAACCTCCATATGCCCATGTACTTCTTCCTCCGGGTCCTGTCCTTCCTGGATATTTCCACAGCATCCATAGTTGTCCCCAGGATGCTGGTAAGCTTCCAGGCAGAGGACAGAAAAATTTCCTATGTAGGCTGCGCCTCACAGCTCTACTTTGTCATTTTCTTGGGGGCCACCGAATGCTACCTTTTGGCAGCTATGGCCTATGACCGCTACGTGGCCATATGCAACCCCCTGAGGTACGCCATCTTCATGAGCAGAAGAGCTAGCCTTTCCCTAGTCCTGCTGTCATATTGCAGTGGTAATGTAGTGTCCATGGTGCAGACAACATGGATGTTCACACTGCCATTTTGTGGGCCCAACAAGATTAACTACTTCTTCTGTGATATCCCTCCACTCATCATGCTCTCCTGCACGGACACCTCCTTGTACGAGAAGCAGATTGTTACAGCCACCGTGCTGGTCATCTTCACACCGTTTTGTCTCATCCTGGTATCCTATGCGTGCATCGTCTCCACCATCCTCAAGATTTCCTCTACAGAGGGCAGACGCAAGACCTTCTCCACCTGTTCTTCCCATCTCATTGTTGTGACGCTTTATTATGGCAGTGGGACCTTGATTTACTTACGGCCCAAGTCCAGTAATTCACAGGACACTAAGAAAGTCTTGTCTCTCATATATACTGCTATAATCCCCATGCTAAATCCCCTGATTTACAGCCTGAGGAATAAGGAAGTGAAAGCAGTGATAATCAAAATTTTAGCTGACCTGAGGAAGGTATAAACACACACTGCTGAAAGGAAGCTTTCTCCTCCTCTGTATGTTTGTTTTGGTTTTGGTTATTTTTCTTTCATATTTCACTCTTTTTAAATGCCCTGATAGCTTGAAATTCTGGAAAAATGGATGTGTTTCAAAGTGTGCTTTGCATCTTTGTGTGTCTTTTGTTCACTATGAGTGTATATTAATTACTAATTACTAATTCAGTATTCATGATTTATGATCTTGTATCAGATGTTGGTGATTGAAGTTTTTCTTTTTCTCTTTTGCTCTTGTGTGACTTTCTTACTCACTCACTGACTTACTCACACATCATGTCTTCTCCTTTAAATGTTTCAGGCTGGAAAATGAAGACATAATTTTGTGCCTAGACAAAACGAGCATCAGTGCTGACAGAGGAAGAAATGGGCAGAGGACAGACAGAACAGATGAAACAGAACAGATGGGTGAAGTCATTCATAGTGTGTGAAGCAGGTGGCCCATCTCAGTGGTTGGAGTGGGCTCTATTTGGAGCCAGCAGGAGTGAATGGCAGAAAAATGTGAAATATGTGAAGCTGTAGAGGAGAATGGATGAGTAACTTTGCAGTTGGATATATGGATGGCCATCCAGGGAAGGAGAGGTAGATGAGTGTTGAAGAAGTTGATAAGAAAATGCAGAATGTGAGGGATAGAAGAAATTGCCAGGTTCATGACTGATAGGTCAATTCAGCACCAGCATTCATGAATGACTGGCATTCATCGATGGTTGCTGAATATTTATTGAGATGAAACAGTGGATGTCAGCACAGTGAATGGACATGGAGCATTTCAACAGTGGTAGCAGTGACAGTGGGTCACCTCTGCAGTGCAGGTGTTTACGAGTGCAGCATGCAGGCTCTCGCTCATAACTGGTGAAAATGCATAGCTAATGGTAGTGACTCTGTGCAAAAAAGATGTTTTATAACTTGGAATTTGCTCTATCAAACAGTGTTATTCTGCTCTCTGTGTTAGTTTCCATACAAATAATTAGGAGACACTATTTTTGGAGCAGCCTTTGTAGATGAGGCTGCAGGCAATTCCTCTTCACTCAGTGGGGCCCAGGCAAGCCAGAAGGTTGGACACCCATGCTTTAGCATATTTACCAGTGTTTATCAATGAGACAAAAGGGCATTAAGTACACCCTCAGCAAGTAGGCAGACTACACCAAAGGGACATGGACCTGGGCAAGCTTAGGAAATGGGTCTGCATATAAATAAAATGTTAAAATACTTTTATATACGTGCAGTGTCTGATGCATGGATTCAGAGGTGAACAATCCAAATCATTTATTACAAATTCTCACATCACTTATATACCTTCACAAGTTCTCTTTATCTTTCCCATCCACCCCTACAACTTTCCCATCCATCTTTACATGACAGCAGAGCATTCTACAAAACGCTCTTCAACCGTTCATGCAGGCACTTCTCCAATCAGAGCCATCAGATGTTCTTTCTTCTTCTAGAGGTCTCCTTGGTTCTCATGCTGTTTATCTTGCTCCACAGCTGCTGTTCAAACAGGTTTTTTTTGTATTCCCACATATATTTTTCTTTTTTCATTTTCATTTTCATTTTCATTTTCATTTTCATTTTCATTTTCATTTTTATATATAAAGCACCTATCACCTGACTGATAAACATGCTTTGTAACCATTCTGATGGCAGGGGTAAGCACAGGAGTCAGCCTGTTAGTATCTCAGCATTTCTGTTTCCAACTAATTGAAAAAAAAAAAAAAGAAAGAAAAAAACGCCACAAGACTTTACTGCCAGCCTGGCATGCTGGCTTTTAATACTGCTACTCCATCAGGGTTGGAGGGAGACTTACTGTGAATGGCAGTGGTTTGGACTGAAATTGAATGAGGTTCAAAAAGGCCAAGAGCAAGGTGCTGCGCCTGGGTTGAGGAAATCCTTGACATGTGCAGACTGAGAGAAGAACTCGTGGAGAAGGCAATGGGGGTTCTAGTGAATGAAAAGACTTACGCGAGCCATCGGTGTGTACCAAGGTCAGCTGTAGCCTGGGCTGCATCAAAAGAGATGTGGCCAGGTGGATGAAGGAAGTGATTGTCCCACTCTGCTCTTCTCTTGTGAGGCCCCACCTGGATGCTGCATCCAGACCTGAGGCTGGAGCACAAGAATAGGTGGTTGTCAGAGTGGATCCCACAGGAGTGTCATGAAGATGACCAGAGGGCTGGAGTACCTCTCCTCTGAAGAATGGCAGTTGAAGTTGGTCTGCCTGGAGAAGAGAAGGCTTTGAGGAGAGCAGGTTGCAGCATTTCCCTTAACAGGATCTCATAAAAAAAATAATGCATTTCCCTTAACAGGATCTCATAAAAAAAATAATAGGGATCAACTTTCTACATGGTGAAAACGGAATGGTTTTTAATTAAAGGAGGGGAGATTTAGATCCTTAGCTCTGCTCTCTGCCTTGGGGCACAGCAAGACTGACGTTGAATGACAAAGTCTCAATAAAGTACGCTGATCAGGGTCGAGTGTATGGAAATATCACAAGCTGAAACTTTCTTTGCTCTAAGTTTCCAGCCTGAGCTGAACTGACAAGAGGATGTGAAAACAGCCAGGATATAGAGCCTCTCTGCTTGCGGAAAGGGGTGATGGAATCAGCACAAGTATCTTTTTACGTGGTCTGACAGCAGTAGGACAAGGGGGAATGCCTTAAACTAAGAGGGAAGATTTAGATACGGTGTTAGAAGGACATTCTTTATTCATAGCGTAATGAAGTTCTAGAACAGGTTGCCCAGAGAAGTTCTGGAAATCCCATTGCCAGAGGCCTCTGAGGGCAGGATGGATGGGCCCTGGGCAGATCTAGTGGGTGACAACCAGTCCACAGCAGCGGACATGGAACTATGTAATCTGTAGGGTTCTTTTCAACCAAAACCATTCTATGGTTCTGTAAGTCTATGAGTCCATGATCTGCAAACGTTCCATCCTTGAGGATTTTAGAAGCCTGGATAAATTTCTTTGTCCAGAGGTTTATGCTGCTTTAAGTCTTTCTTTATCTTTTTTTCCCCCTGATTGTTCAGTTCCTCACGCCAGGATATGAATCCAATTGTGCAGATCACAGTTTTGGCCTTAGTGTGGTTGTACCAGTACAGACAGAGGGTGTCTTGGTCAGAGCTTCCGGAGGCCAAAGCTGTTGAGAAAAAGCTGGTAAGAAGATTTTTCTGGGAGAACTTATGCTCTGGGCCTTTCCCATGAAATGCACAGCCAACACCTATATTCCTCTTTCCCTGTGCTTTGTACAGCAGTCTATGAGACAGTCAATACACATCATTTTCTCTTTCTGCACAGTGTTTCCCCTCTACTTTTTCTCTCTGCAGATGTCCATCTAGATGAGTGTCTGGAAGCAGCAAATTTCCTCTTATGTTCTCTGTAGAGCCCAGTACCTTCAGGATCTGAACTTCCCCATGCTGCAGGGGTTGTGCAAGATGTTGGACAGAGATGCAGCAGGGACAACTGATGAAGAAAGGGAAGGAAAGTAGAGGGAAGGGGAGGAGCTGGAATAAGTTGGGAATGTCATCTTCCAAGGTAGACATTGCTTAGAGACTTACTGGGCATCAGTTTACATGTGATTTGCATCAGAAGTGAATGCTTACGGGTCATTTATTTTTTTCCTTTCCTGACCTATTAAAATGCCTTTATCTCAACAGATGAGTTCTCTTGCTTTTGCTCTTCCTATTCTCTCACCACGCTGCCATAGGAGTGGGAGTGAGAGAATGGAAAATTGTACATTCTGTGTAGAACTAAAGAAAGATTTATGCAGAGTATGTGAATTTCCACACTTTTCTATGCCATGCCGGTCCTGGCCATTACGAAACCATGTGGTCATCCTCAACTTACTGTATGTATCAATGATCGGCACGGTCCACACAGCAGTAATCTTACGGTACCCTGAAGCCAGGGAATACATTTTATATTAATAAGCATGTTTTCATCTCCTTCAGGAAGGCAGAGAGTTGAACATGTCATTCTTCAGATTATTTTCTATGTATTTGTATATATGTATAGTAATACAAAGGAAGAGAAATACTACCATACAGACTGGGAGAAACAAATATTCCTGAGATGAACATCATGAACAGGAGTTTTACAAACTCCTGGAAATGTTTTACAGATTAGATCAGCCAAAAAACACTTCTACTGAGTTATCTTCTCTTCTGAGGGGGTTTTTCTATGCACAGGTCACAGTGACCTGACTTGCAAGTTAAAAAATCACATTCTGTTTTGTGACATTTCAGTTATACAAATTTTTTTGTTTGTTTGTTTGTTTGTTTTTTAAATGAAATTAATCTCTATTCCAGAAAAAAAAAAAAAAAAAAAATCTTTTGCATGTATGTACTTTACGTATAATCTGCCTTTCAAAGTACAGGATGTGCTGCAAAAAGGTTCAGTTCTGATAGACAAATGTGGAGAAAAACAAAATCCTTCATTTAGTGCCATTGGCTTTCATTTTGCATTTTCTTTAAGTGACACTGACCTGTCTTTGTTGTGGTTTAACCTGGTAAGCACCACATTCCAGCTGCGCAGCCCTTCCTCACTCTCCCCTCCCCCAGTGGGACTGGGGAAAGAATCTGGAAAAAAAAAGGGAGAATGTGCAGGTTGAGATAAAAATGGTTTACTGTGGCAGAAAAAGAAGAGAAATAACTGTAATGATTTTATATATGCTGCAATTTCAAAAAGATTCAAGAATCTTAGCCAAAATTCCACGGTATATTCTGCATTACCAATGGAGTTGTGTCCAACAGCTGCATGTTAATGTAAAACACATTTGAGACAGAATTCATCTGAGTGGGCAGCCAAAGTGCAAGGCAGTGGTTCAAGGACTTTGTTCAGTCAAGACAGAAGACTAGGCTCTCCAGGGAGTGATTCATCCAATGATTTTAGCCATCAGTATTTAGAAAATAGATCACATTGCATAGATCCTTTCTGGCCATGCACAAGGCAAGCACCTGTAACTTAGAAGTATAAGTCAGA